CCCCCCACCCCCCGAGAAGGGCAAAAATAAATGAAGAAAACAAGATGCAATTCCCACACAAGTAGCCGTACCACATACACACATAGACACGAGCACGAGAAGCGAGGATGAGCCCGCACGCATACAAAAATGAATGTGAGACAAATAGGACCCGAGAGACTTGCCGTTTAGGACATGCCCCCCGGGAAGACAAAACAATGGGGGAAAAGATAAATGTGCTGCCGCCCATGCCTGTGCTTCCCCAGTTGCATCCGGTTCCTCATGAAAAGCCGTCGAGGGGAATGTATTGAGAGTTTCAACAGCTTCTTCACAACGTATCCTGAAATGGGGGAAAAAATGGAAATCGCGGAGCACAGTAGCGCCAGAAGGTCGCCATGTAAAGCCATGCGTGGCGAGGCACTGTAAAAAAGGAAAACTAGACGAAGTGAGCAATCACACACACACACACACACACACACACAGAAAGATACAGCAAAAGGATCACATCGGAAGACCAGTAATAACAATGAAAGGAACAGGGTTGTTTTTGAGCCTCGCCAAACGTATACTGGTCGAGAAACTACATGAGAAAAAAATGAATTGAAAGAAAAACGAACCATAAACCCGTACGTGAACAAGATAAACAATCTTCCTCACTCTTCCTTCTTGCATGTGGGAGTAGATAATGAGAACACGGCAAAGCAGAAAAAAAAGCCTTTGTCTCCGTTTGAAAAGAGGAGGGGCTAACAACGCTTCTGAATAAGTCAAAAACGCCCTGTTTGGGGCGCTTTACAGAGAATGTTTTTTTGTCCGCATTAGTTGTACAGATCGTTGTGGTGGTGTGCATGTGTGTGTGTATGTGTTTGCTTGGGTGGGTGGAAGTATGCCACACCTCCACCCTTCACCGCTTCACCTTCTCTGTATCATTCATTCTCCATATGCGCTGTGGTTGGCACCGAGCCCACTCAATGTCATGGAACACCAGCCTTGTTGCCCTGACCGCCCTCCGCGCACGGATGCATCACACCTCAACAGAGAATTTAAAAAAAGAAAGATCATGAACCCACACAAGAGAAAAAAAAAGTAACGAACACGCCCCATTGTTTCCCGCTCAATGCATTACACGGAAACACTCCTCAATACAGCGTTCCGATGGTACAAGTAGAGAAACAATTCGGAGGCACAAGTAATGACGACAAATACGACGAAGAAGAAAGAACAATGGAGTAAACACAGAGAAGGCCGCGTAATGACAATTGTGTGTGTGTGTGTGTGTGCGTTTTTGTTTCGGTTGAATGAGGGGGAGGGTAATCAATGGGAGTACAAACAAGTAGCACACACACACACACAGAGTGACTTGTTCACCACACCTTACTTTCGTGTGGATCTGGGCTTCCGTCTACGTGGACCCAACAAAATCCGTAACGTTTCCGAGCGGTACTTACTCACCGCGTCTTTGTTTTCCTTTCAATTTATTCTCTATATTCGTAAAATATTTCGCTATTGCATTCTGGATTTTCTTCGTGCCCCTCCCAGCAGGGGCTCACAGGGATTCTTTACAAATCAGCAGTGACCCGCACGCGAGCACACAGAGTCTCGGAGGGCCACAATGAAGTGGTGGAACCGACCAGACCAAGCTTTCGGCTTATGCTTTCTCACACCATTCACCTGAACGAAGCACACACAGTCACAGACAATCGAGGGTGGCATGAGTAAAACCAAAATAAAAAGAAATGAGAGTAGGGCGGAAGATCATGACGCATAAGTGTTGTCTTTTTCCTGAAGCCACATGGAAAAAAAAGGAAGCCACAAGCAAACACGAAAACAACAATACTTAAACCTTCTTCCTATTCACCTTTACCTACTTTCGCGTGGGTGAATACATCACCACGCACATGCTTCCGGACCAGTAAGTAATGTTTCTGCTGTTAAGGAGAATGGGGCCGCAACTTAGCTGCGTCCCACACTTCAGAACGCCTGATAATTGTTNTAAACCTTCTTCCTATTCACCTTTACCTACTTTCGCGTGGGTGAATACATCACCACGCACATGCTTCTGGACCAGTAAGTAATGTTTCTGCTGTTAAGGAGAATGGGGCCGCAACTTAGCTGCGTCCCACACTTCAGAACGCCTGATAATTGTTCGGCTCGATATTACCAGAGGCCGCGACGGGCACCATCATGTACACCACGGGTTGCTGTTGCCGCATTATAAAAGGCCCTGGTGGCGTAGTGGGCGTTGTCAGGTAGCCTGATCGCGCCATTTCCGTAGAAGGGGATGTCGAAACAGAACTGTACTGCGGACTGTTGGTTGTCGATAGAGAAAAAATAGGAAGCGGGGTTGCAAGCGCAGCACATGAAAGCGCTTGCACGCCAGCTCCAGCCCTTCGACTGGCTCGGCTCGATCCTCCATCACTTATGATTTGTTGGCATGCGGATGGCCTGGCCTGTCGTACTTGAATCTTGTTTCCGCCAACAACGTGACCGATCATTTCCACTTGAGCGCGTGCAGCATCCTCGGGCCGCTCAAAAAGAACAAACCCGTATCCACGGCATCGATGAGTATCCTTACACGGCATCGCCTTCGCAGAGATAATTTCACCGAAAGGTGAAAAAAGAGCCCTCAACTTCTCATCGGTGATGTCTTCTGGAAGACTGGCAACGTAAATATTCCTTCCGTATACCGGCATGTTGTCATCGCATGNGCTGTTGAGCTGCGGCAGCGGAGGGTGTGCACCTGCGCTACCACATGTGTTGAGGTCAGCAGTGGCAGAACTCCCCAGCGCAAGTGGAGGGGCATAGTACGCCATCAAATTGCCTGCCCCAGGGTTAGCCGGCAGACTCCATGGATCAATCGTCTGTATGGTGCCTTGTTTCTCCACAGAAAGCTGCGACAGATTGTTCATGAGTTGTTGTGTCTGAAACGTGCTTCTACACCACAGTAAAAGATAAGACTCAACAAAGAAAGTAGAACGGACACATTTATTATGCATATATATATATATATATATATGTATATATATGTCAAAGGTATAACTTCATCGCTATCAACGTGTATCTTGTGATTCTTATTACCATGGAAGGGATCTTCGAAGTTTGTTTCCAGTCAAATTCAAAAAAAAAGGCAGTGCTGTACTTTGCGTCACCACCGCAAGACTGCTTCGTGAGCACGTTCCAGTGGAAACATCATCATCACATCGCTGGTCGGAGTTCATTAACAACCGTCTTGCAGGAAAATGGCATTGCACCCCCGTATGTCTTTGTCTGTGCGTACGCTCTATGTATGGGGGGGGGGGGGG